TCCGCATGCGATGTCAAATGAAGGCCGGCCGGGACCAGTTGGCAGACGGAAGTGGCGTTCGGAGAGGGCCCCCGGTCAGGGCCTAATGCAAATGGCCAGATTGAATATTTATGTTAATAGATACATTTTAAAGCATATTAAATATACACGCTTTTGAAAGGAATTGTTTAGTTTCGAGCACCCTGATGGTCTATAATTGCAGAGTCTGCTTTCGTAGAGGATTCCGAAACAGTCTTCAAAACAACTCGTGACCTCCTGACATTGCAGAGGAGTCCGCCATCGATCTCTGGTATGCATACAAATGAAGTAATTTCACTAAGTTAATGTATACTAAATAATTGAAAATAATATATACAAATATATTATAATATATACATAATACTATAGACAATATATGCCAATTTTTTTCATATCACATTACAATATACCGCATTTAGTATAATGTTATAATTATATATTAAATTTGTATATATTTCTATATAACAGTATTCTAAATATTTTGCTGTTATATTATATTATTTTCTCTTTTATAATGTTATTCAATACTACATAATAGAATGAATATAATATATTCTTATTAAATTATACATTATCTTATATATTATATTAAAAATATGTTATGCATTATAATAATATAATATTATACATATATATTATCTAGGTGAAATATCCTATTATTATACTATAGTAGTGAAATGCAAGTATTATAACATATTATATGTCATAAAATTTATTTATATTTATATTCATTTAATATTATTATGCAACATAATTATTGCATCATAATGACTAGTCTGCAGGCTAACTTGAGCCTTTATCGCTCCTCCATGTCGGCGGAATTAACTGGCGTGATCACGTCGTACTTAAATTTTGATAGTAGTATGTTTGTGATCGAACAAATAAATGGTTGTTTGAGGTTTTATCATCGCCTCCGCTGCAGAGTAGCACAGCAAGAGGAAGCAAAAAATGGCTGCTCACCGTCACGATAATAGTCAGCGAATTCGGCGCTCGCCTGCCCGGCCGGCTCGTCCGTGCATGAGGCCAACCGGGAAAGCTGAGATTGCTCCGATCTGTAGCATGCAGTCGCGGCAACAAAGTCGTCATGGCAACCCGTCGCCGATGTACCCCCGGCGTGCTCGTGCCAACCGACTGCCAGACCATTGGTCGAGTGGTTGAAAGGCCCCGGAGACGGCCAAGTCTGCGAATCCGGTTGCCAGGCGGCACAGGCCTGCCAACCGGCGGCGAAGGTGACTGTGTCTCTGGGGCCAAGTTGTCGTGACGCCGCGGCGACGTCCACGGACGCAGCGCCGGGCGGTCTGACAAGTGGTCCCGGCGACTCGGAGGAATGGCTCGAATTGAATGTGGACGAATAGAAAGAGACGTCACTGTTGCCGGGAGCAGCAGAGCCGGTGGCGGATAGAAACGGGCCGACCGTTCGAGCTGAGAATTCGACTTGCGCGGACTCGAGCTCGGCTCCCTCTGGCTTGAGATGATGGTCGAACGGGCGACTGGTTGGACTCCAGTCGTGCAGTCGAGAGTGGGAAAATTGGGCAAACGTCGTCGCCTCCTCGACACACCCACAGTCTTCACAGCCGCTGTAGCCTCGGCTTGCATCGCGAGTCGGCTCCGCTTCTTCTTCGGTCTCGCTGAATTCGCCGTCGCCGTTGCCTTCGCCGTCGCCGTCGCCGTCGCCGTTGGCTCCGTCTGTTCCGACCTCTGCCGAGAAGAGACTGGCCCAATTCTGGCCTTGAAGCGGAGCATCGGGAATCCAACGGATCGGTTGACATGTCGTCGGCTCGACGATGATCGCCTCGGCCGAGTCGAAAGGTCTTAAGGCGACGTCGTGTCTGAGGCCGGATCTGGACGCTTCGACGCCGTGGCTGAGGCAGGCGAGACAATCGCAGTCCGGCCGCCCATTCACACTCTCCGGAGCCCACAGCTGCTCGTCGCGCAAAGTGCCAAGCGACTGCGTCTCGGCGGCAGATTCGGACGAAAGCCAGTAGAGTGAATTTCTGGAGTCCTGTGTGCATGACCAGTGAAAAGTATTATTATTATTATTGTTATTATTATTATTATTATTATTATTATTATTATCAGAAAGCGTCACCAAAACCCATTTTGCTTTACATTTATAGCCTCATTAGCACCACAATTTGATAAAATTTATTTTATAAATTCATTTTTATTTTTCGTATGTAAGTAGAGTTTTGAGACAACCAGCAGATGCATTCTTTCTATTTCGTTTGAGGTGATATGATTAGACCTAAATTTTCCATTGAATTTTACTGTGATTTGTTTTCACAAAAGTTGTGAAATTCAATTCTACCACCAATCCTTTCTCACCTTGAACAAAATAGAAAGAATCCATCCCATCTTACTGATTTAATGGTAGTCTCAAAAATCTACTTACATACGAAAAATAAAATAATTATGTCGTCCTAGTTTGCTCAATTACATGATGTATTAGCGAATCTTCGGAATTCCGCAAACAAGCCACACTTATCGGTTATAAAAATAATGTTTATAATGTTTATAATATCTTCAATCTCTATTGGCTTGAGAGACCAACTTTAATTAAGTGATATTTTATCCAACGAGTATGTAAGTTGTGGCTGACCAGATTACAAGATGAAGAAAGAAGTGTATTGAATCATCAATTTATCGAGTTATTTATTAATTCCTATTATTTTTTATAATAAGCTGAAAATTGAGTCGAAAATATAGCAGGACAATCCTATAATATTAGTTATGTTACTACTTTAATGCTTTTATAAGTAGCATTGTTTAAATCCTGAAATAATGAAAGTTTATCTCCTGATTTTATTATCGAAACTGTTTAGCCTCAAAAATAGATTGGCTCTTGATTGTCTCTGAACAGAAATGCTCATACTGGTCTTGGTCTATTTGGTCTTATTCAAGTAAGAATGCATAAAAATTAGGCATGCCTATACAAATTTATGTGTTTTAAAGCAGCACTGATAAATGACAAAACAGGTAAATCCAAAAGAACAAACCGATATTGAAGAAAGTGGCCAATTGTAGAAGAATCTGTCGAGTGGTCGAGGCTGGCAAACCGAACGCGGTTGCATCGGAACATTCGAATTTGACAGTAAATGGGTGTTGGCAGTGGAATCTGGATCGAAATTAATCAAAAAATTTGGTCTATTTACTTCTAATGTTGAAGAGTGTGTAATGTAAATTATGTCGAGATTGACGAGATGTGCACTAATAATGTCTTGTATTTCAAGTATTCTGGCATCAGACAGAATACTATTAATTTTGGCGAACAACAACCATATGAGCGTAAAACCACTACTCGAGTGTAGATGATGTGAGTAAGATGAATTGAGAGCTTTGTGCTAATCTATTCGACAGCATTACTTATATACATTGTAAGTAGATCTCGTGACAATCAGTAGAACCTGAATGGGATGT